CTACTAAAGTTACTTCAGGCACTGAGAAATATTTTCCATTGTTTTTTTTTTTTTTCTGATGTTTGTGGAGAGTTAGAGTGGCCCCAAAGGATGACCTCCAGATAATAGGGACATGGCATATATCCTAATCAAGAATGTGAGTGCCAAGAGGTTAGGAATTATTTTTCTTTGCTTGGATTTTAATAACTACTGGCTAAACATCAGACATAAGAAAGTACTTGAGGCCAGGCCTGATGGCATGCACTTGTGGTACCAGCTACTTGGGAGGCTGAGGCAGGAGAATTGCTTGAGGCCAGGAGGTTGAGACCAGCCTGGGCAACATAGCCAAGCCCCGTTTCTAAAAAAAAAAAAAAAAAAATTTTTTTTAATTAGCAGGAGCTGGGTGTGGTGGCTCATACCTGTAATCCTAGCAGTTTGGGAGGCTGAGGTAGGAGGACTGCTTAAGCCCAGGAGTTCAAAACCAGCCAGAGCAACAAAGTGGGACCTCGTCTCTACAAAAAAAAAAAAAATAATAACCAAGTGTGCTGGCATGTGCCTGTAGTCCCAGCTACTCAGGAGACTGAGATGGGTGGATCACTTGAGCCTGGTAGGTTGAGGCTGCAATGCGCTATGATCATGCCTGTGAATAGCCAACACACCCCAGCCTGGGTGACAAAGCAAGACCCTGTCTCAAAAAGAAAAAAAAAGAAAAGAAATTAGCAGAGTGTGGTCTTGTGCATATAGTCCCAGCTACTGGGGAGGCTCAGATGGGAGGATCACTTTCAGCCCAGGAGTTAGAATCTGCAGTGTGCTATGATCACATCTGTGAATAGCCACTGCACTACAGCCTGGACAACATATCAAGACCCCATCTCTCTTAAAAAAAAAAAAAAGGATACTTGATGAAGCCAGATTGGCTATGACACTAAATAACATTGTAAGGGATATTATTGGGATATTAAATGTATAATGTGCTTGGATCCCCCGACACGTATATGACCTTTCCCTACTCTGTTGGCATCATGCATCTGCCTCAGGCAGGATTACAATTTTTGTGTCAAGAAGGCAAGGCCAGGCGCAGTGGCTCATGCCTGTAATCCCAACACTTTGGGAGGCCGAGGCAGGTGAATCACCTGAGGTCAGGAGTTCAAGATCAGCCTGGTCAACATGGTGAAACTCCATCTCTACTAAATACAAAAAATTAGCCTGGCGTGGTGGCGCACACCTGTAGTCCCAGCTACTCAGGAGGCTGAGGCACAAGATCAGGCCACTGCACTCCAGCCTGGGAGACAGAGTGAGACTCCTTTAAAAAATAAAGAAAAAAAAGGCAAAGAGAAAGAGTAAATGTTTGATTTTGCAAAATAGGCTTTTGAAGAGATAGGGTTTTCTAAATTCCAAGTGTTCCGTCTTTATTCGAATTAAATAATTAATTAAAATTATTTTTTTTTAGTGAAATAGGGTCTCTGTCACCCAGGCTGGGGTGCAGTGGTGCAATCATAGTTCACTGCAGCCCCCAATTCTTGGGCTCAAGTGATCCTCCTGCCTCAGCCTCCTGAGTAGCTGGGACTACCAGCATGAAACACCATGCCCAGCTAATGTGTTAACTTTTTGTAGACATATTGCACAGCCTGATGTTGAACTTGTGGCCTCAAGGATCCTCCTGCCTTGGCCTCCCAAAATGCTGGGACTACACGTATGAACCACCACACTAGGCCCCAAATGCTTTTTTTTTTTACTGAGACAGACTCTCACTCTGTTGCCCAGGCTGAAGTACAGTGGCATGGTCTCGGCTCACTGCAACCTCCCCCGCCCAGGTTCAAGCAATTCTCCTGCCTCAGCCTCCTGAGTAGCTGAGATTAAAGGTGCGCACCACCACGCCCAGATAATTTTTCTATTTTTACTAGAGACAGGGTTTCATCATGTTGACCAGGCTGGTCTCAAACTCCTGGCCTCAAGTGATCGGCCCACCTCTGCCTCCCAAAGTGCTGGGATTACAGGTAGGAGCCACTGTGCCTGGCCTCTCCCTCTTTATGTTTTGAGACAAACTTGGCTGGGTCATAGATTGTTATAATGGCCTTATTTTTTTGTTGTTGTTTGAGACAGAGTCTCACTCTGTCGCCAGGCTAGAGTGCAGTGGCGCAATCTCGGCCCACTGCAACCTCCACCTCCCTGGTTCAAGCGATTCTCCTGCCTCAGCCTCCCAAGTAGCTGGGATTACAGGCACGTGCCACCACACCTAGCTAATTTTGGTATTTTTAGTAGAGATGGGTTTTCACCATGTTGACCAGGATGGTCTCGATCTCCTAACCTCATGATCTGCCCACCTCGGCCTCCCAAAGTGCTGGGATTGCAGGCGTGAGCCACCATGCCCAGCCTAATGGCATTATTTTTAAGCAATGGATGATCCTTTAAAAAAAATTTAAAGGAAAACAGCAATTTACTTCAAACCAGAGTGCAAGGGAGCTCGTGGAAGCAGAAGGGAAAACAGGAAGAGCCTTTCCCTTCCACGTCTGAGCACAGAACTTTTCTCCTCTAGCCAAAGAATGCTGGGTGGAGAGGATGTCCCATGGGGAGATGTCTGATGGGTCAAGATGACAGATTTTGGAGATTTCCTACAACTTGCCTGGTGTTTTTCTCAAAGACTCAGTAACCACCTTTGGAATTACATTCGTGTTTATAATTTCAAGTTCAATGCATTACATAATCAGTGTCAGAATTCGTTATTCAGGTGGCTCCTGTGAGCCTGCACCCGACCCTCCACTCCTACCCCCATCTGGCTTCCCCGGCACATGGAAAGGTTTAACGCAAAGGATTCTTTCCTTGAAGAGCACGCATTGTTACTTTTTAAAAAGCATTAAATGTGTTATGTTGTTTTAAGGAAGTAAGAAACATTTCTTTTAGAGAAGTGATTACATCTCATATAGGGCTCATTTTGGGATCATGATTTAAGGCAAATCCAGACTGAGCACGGTGGCTCAAACCTGTAATCCCAGCGCTTTGGGAGGCCGAAGCAGGCGGATCACTTGAGGTCAGGAGTTCAAGACCAGCCTGGCCAACATGGCGAAACCCCGTGTCTACTAAAAATATTAAAAGTCACTACTAAAAACAGAAAAAATTAGCCAGGGGTGGTAGCACAAGCCTGTAATCCTAGCTACTCAGGAGCTGAGGCAGAAAAATCGCTTGAACCTGGGAGGTGGAGGTTGCAGTGAGCCGAGATTGCGCCACTGCACCACAGAGCCAGACTCCATCTCAAAAAAAAAAAAAAAAAAAAAGAAAGAAAGAAAGAAAGAAAGAGAGAAATTCACTGGATTTAGGATGTCATTTTGGTTTCTTTATCAATTTGGCTCCCTCTAGAGGTCAGTTAGCAAATTTTAGTCAGCGCGACTAAACACCTTCGCCCTCTTTTAAAACAGAATAATTTCTCCTAGGAAAGTTTTGGGGAAAATGATTGAAATTGATTAATAGAGTCTATTTTTTTAGCAAACATTATATTTAATTTTTGCTTAAAATTACTAAGACTGGCCGGGCGCGGTGGCTCAAGCCTGTAATCCCAGCACTTTGGGAGGCCGAGACAGGCGGATCACGAGGTCAGGAGATCGAGACCATCCTGGCTAACACGGTGAAACCCCGTCTCTACTAAAAAAAATACAAAAAAGTAGCCGGGCCAGGTGGCGCGCGCCTGTAGTCCCAGCTACTCGGGAGGCTGAGGCAGGAGAATGGCGTAAACCCGGGAGGCGGAGCTTGCAGTGAGCTGAGATCCGGCCACTGCACTCCAGCCCGGGCGACAGAGCGAGACTCCGTCTCAAAAAAAAAAAAAAAAAAAAAAAATTACTAAGGCTGCCAGGTTTACCAAATAAAAATACACGACACCCAGTAATATTTACATTTCAGATTTAAAAAAGTATTTTTAACCTAAGAATGTCCCAAATACACTAATCTAGCAACTCTGTGTATCTCTGTATATCTGTATATAGAGACATACACTATACATACAGTATTTTACTCCTTATTTGTTGAATGAGGATTCTGAGGATCAAAACATCCAACTCCAGCCTCTCATTTTCCCATGTTCCCATAGCCTGTTCTTGTTTTTTCATTCTAAGTTTTCTTCTAAGTTCTCAAAAGAAATCAGATCATAGGTCTGGTCAGATAACTTGATTTTAAGCTTCAAAGATCCTGAGATACTGAAGGAAGCCAAAATATTTCACCCCAAAATATCCTTTGCTGACATATTTTGAGATAGTTCTTCAGAGAGCCAAGCAGCCCTGCAAAGCTGTCGTCTGTGTGGAACTTTGTATCTGTAAAGCAAACCTGCATCCCTGCAGCCAGGCTCTCTGAGGTCCTCCCTGGTCCAGATCTAGGAAAGATGAACTGAGAGTCTGACATCTCTGAAGATCTGAAAGGAATATTTCCCACCTCTTCTCTCTGAGGGCTGCTACCCGTGAGGTTTCAGTTGCGTAACAAGACCACCTTTGCTAGCCAGGCGTCCTCTTCTCTCCCATCCATAATCTATTTTGCCACTGTCACCTGACTTACCACCATAACCTTTCTGAGCCCATGCTCGAAGGCCCCATTCTTTCTGTAATCTCAAAATGGTAGAAAAGTCTGGGCCCAGTGGCTCACGCCTGTAATCCCAACACTTTGGGAGGCCCAGGTGGGTGGATCACTTGAGGTCAGGAGTTCAAGACCAGCCTGGCCAACATGGCCAAATCCCATATCTAATAAAAATACAAAAAATTAGTCGGGTGTGGTGGTGGAGTATTCCCAGCTACTCTGGAGGCTGAGGCACGAGAATCACTTGAACCTGGAAGGTAGAGGTTGCAGTGAGCCAAGATGGCGCCACTGCACTCTAGCCTAGGCAGCGGAGTGAGACTCCGTCTCAAAAAAAAAAAAAAAAGGCAGAAAAGCTTCTGTGCTCCACTGGGAAGCTGGGGTAATCGCTCCGTGATTTTCCCCTGTGCGTGTTAATAGATTTGCATGCTTTGTCTCTTAATAATCTGCCTTTGTCTGTTGATGTTCAGCAAAGCTTCGTGAAGTTTCCCTTGGCCCCTACAGTGTTGGCGTCATAGACAGGATACTAAAGCTGCTCTACTTTTCTGGAAGCCACAGTCCAGGGAACCCAGGACCTGTCAAAGCATCAGAAGGGTAAGAAATTCCTACCAGTCAGCCTCCCGGCCTCTCTCCGTGAAATCCAATCAAGCAGACAGCAGAAATCACTGTTTGTCTCTTTCCCCTTTCCTAAAATCTTGATTAACTGGAGAAAAGGATTTGTGTGACTAGTCTTGGGTTAAGTAGCAATTCTGGTGTACTTTTAGGCATGAATATTCATATCGTCTGATCCTTTTTCTCTCAGAGTCTTTTCCATTGTATTTCGTTATGGATCTGTCATAAAGAGGGGTGCCATAGGGTAGAACATGGACCTAGAACCCCCAGAAGCGCACTGTGCCCGCTGGCCCTGCAGTTTTTTTGTTTGTTTGTTTGTTTGTTTTGAGACAGAGTCCCGCTCTGTCACCCAGGCTGGAATGCAGTGGCGTGATCTTGGCCCACTGCAACCTCTGCCTCCCGGGTTCAAGTGATTTTCTTGCATCAGCCTCCTGAGTAGCTGGAATTACAGGCATGCGCCACTGTGCCTGGCCAATGAGTCCTATTTATAAGGTGCTTTTGTTGTCTCAACCTTGCTGCTTGGTTAGTCCTGGGAAAGTCCAATCCCAGGAGGGCCTGCCTGGTGTCACAGCTTAAATAGGTGTGTGACTGGCGGCCCCCCACAAATTTGTGGGATACTAGAGGCACTGTATGTAAAAACACCATCCTTTATCATCTGTGGCACCATGAACCTTTTGCTGCCTTAGTCTATTCTTGGGAGTGAATTTGTGAGGATGGGGATCGTTGAGGCTGCCTGTTCTATGCCCTCTCCAAGAAGCACCTCTTGTTTATTGGTAAAAACTTAATTGAAACCGGGAAAATTACCTCCTGGGCATTCCATGAAGAGGCTTGTTAGATTGAGTTGCTATTTGTGTAAGTACATCTCAGGAAATTCTTTTTTTTTTTTTTTTTTTTTTTTTTTTTTGAGACAGAGTCTCGCTCTGGCACCCAGGCTAGAGTGCAGTGGCTCGATCTCGGTCCCCTGCAACCTCCGCCTCCTGGGTTCAAGCAATTCTCCTGTCTCAGCCTCCCAAGTAACTGGGATTACAGAGGCGCACCACCATACCCGGCTAATTTTTGTATTTTTAGTAGAGACAGGGTTTCACCATGTTGGCAGGCTGGTCTCAAACTCCTGACCTCAAGTGATCCACCCACCTCGGCCTCCCAAAGTGCTGGGATTACAGGCTTGTGCCACCGTGCCTGGCCACATCTCAGGAAATTCTAATCATCAGTGGCCAAAAGATTGATTCTTTAAATTACAAAGGCCCCCTAAACTGAAACTATTTTAGAGACCTCTCATTCCAAACAAGTGCCTTATTTGTGTTTAGGGAAAGATCAAATTAAAAGAAAGGCACTAATAGTATCATGGCTAGCCTTAACATTTTCCTAACAAAAGTTTCAGAACAAAAATCTGACAGAAAACAAAATTAAAATCCTTTGTACACTCAAATTGCCTGCTTTGGATTCCCTGCAGAACTTGTAGTGGCAGCCACTCCACCTTGTGGCCTAGGAGTTAAAATTCTGTGCTTTCACCACTGTGGACTGGGTTCGATTCCCAGTTAGGGAGCCACTTCCTTTTGGTTAAAAGGTTCAAAACCCCAAAATATTGGCTGTTTTTCCTGGTTGAAATCTGATAATAAGAGATTATTATCTCTTATTATTATCTCAGTAAGGGCTTCAGCTACGTGAGACAGATAAACTTTAACCTGTTCCATTTACATAAACACAGTTTAATCCACCTATCCTTTTAAACTAGTGAGTTTTACCAGTCTCATGGCTATAATTTTGAAATCAAAGCTGTAAGGCCTTTATTTACTTCTGCATGTTTTTTTTTTTCTTTTCTTTTCTTTTTTTTTTTTATTTGAGACGGAGTCTCACTCTGTCGCCCAGGCTGGAGTGCAGTGGCGCTATCTCGGCTCACTGCAAGCTCTGCCTGCCAGGTTCAAGCGATTCTCCTGCCTCAGCCTCCTGAGTAGTTGGGATTACAGGCACCCACCACCACACCCAACTAATTTTGTATTTTTAGTAGAGATGGGGTTTCTCCATGTTGATCAGGGTGGTCTTGAACTCCTGACCTCAGGTGATCCACCAGCCTTGGCCTCCCAAAGTGCTGAGATTACAGGCGTGAGCCACTGCGCCCAGCCATCTGCATGTATTTTTATATACACATGTTTGCTTGTATATTGTCTACATGGTGCCAAATTGACTTATAAGTAAATTAGCATTTATAAATTAAGTAAATGAGCCCAAATTATTTTCAAATTCATGCAACTTTAATAACCTTTGATAAATAAAGCCAGTTTTAATATTGTTGATACAATAAAATAAAAACATCGTCTGAATTTAATTTAGACATTCTGCCTGAGTTTAGACGGGTTTATACTGTCTCCATGATGTTTTAAGGTTGTAAACCTGTTAACAGCTTCTGTAATTTTTCCTGTTGTTGTTGTTGTTTTTGAAACATGGTCCTGCTCTGTTGCCCAGGCTGGAACACTACAGCCTTGGCCTTCCAGGCTCAAGTTATCCTCTCACTTCAGCCTCCCAAGTAGCTAGGACTACAGGTGCATGCCTCCATACCTGCCTAAATTTTTTTTTTTACTTTTTGAAGGGATGGCGTCTCCTTATGTTGTCCAGGATGATCTTGAACTCCTGGGCTCAAGAGATCCTCCCGCCTCAGCCTCCCAAAGTGCTAGGAGATATTTTTGAAACTTGCTCGATTGGTCTGTGACTTTATGACTTAGGTTTGGAGCCATTTGATTCTGGAGTCTACACAGTGGCCATGGTGAGGCCTGGGGACCCACGTGTGTCTGCAGTGCCTGGGCCCATCTTCCCTGGCCCAGCAGGATTTCCTGGCCATTCCGGGAAGGGTTGGGTCCTCTGGGTATTGTCTTTACAGCTCTGGCCTCTGTCCTGGGCTCTGCCCCTGATACATAGCAATTAAAATGACTTACTCCCTAGGTTTTTCACTGAAAAATAGGGCTACTAAGAGTTAAAATTATTGTTAATATATAACTAAAACTAGAACTGAGAGAAACACTTCTGTATACAGAGTGTATAAGAAAAGTATGTGTTTTTGGTGAGGAGGGCGATAGGAAAGGCATGAGAATGTGGTTTTTGCTACAGGAAAAGTAATTTTGTCTAGTTTAGATGAATAGATATAGAAAGTTGGGGGGGAAGAATGAGAAAACTTGGAAGAGGTTATAAAAGGTAAACAGAAATCTTACTTTGTGTGGTCAAAGTTGATTGAAATTGGATGCATCTATTTATAAGGCTTTGTTGAAATTGGCCTAACTATTAATAATACACTAATACAGCATAACATGGTAGCTCACGTCTGTAATTCCAGCACTTTGGGAGGCCAAGGCGGGGAGATCACTTGAGTCCAAGAGTTCGAGACCAGCCTGGGCAACATGGAAAAACCCCGTATCTACTAAAAATGCAAACACTTGCTGGGCATGGTGGTGCACCTCTGTAATCCCAGCTGCTTGAGAGGCTGAGGCAGGAGGATCACTTGAACCCGGGAAGTGAAGGTTGCAGTGAGCTGAGATCCCGCCGCTACTCTCCAGCCTGGGCAACAGAGCAAAACTCTGTCTCAAAACCAAAACAAAACAAAACGCTAATGCAAAAGTAGAAGTTGGTTTTCTCTTTTGAATGAGATTTTCGTGTAGTATTAATAAAAGCAAAAGGTTTTGTTTACCTTTGAGATAAACTGTAAAAAAGGGGAGAAGGAGAGACAGATCCTGTTGGTCTTATGCTATCTTTATTAGGTCTTTTGATCGTTTGAAAAACTGAGTGTCTCTCCATCAAAGAGTAAAGGTTTTTGCTTTTTGAAATCTGAATTATCACTTTAGCTCAATGAATATTACTTTGCAGTGACCTGTACTCCTATTTTGATCAAGTGTTTTAAACCTTTCATATCGGATAAACATCCCAAAGTCAAATTTTAAATTCTAAAATTGTCCTTTTAACCTCGAACTAACTTTTAGAGGTTCCAAAAAAGACTCCTGGGAGTCCAAGAGAGATGTGTTAGGCGTATGTACTACGTAAATAACTATATGGGAAGCATTGTTAAATGAGAAATGGTATTTAACCTTCTTTGAGTTATATTTATATAAATGTATTATCAATATGTGCTCCAAAATTGTATGAGATTCCTAAAATTCTTATGTGTTTCAGTATTTGTTATCAGTCATAAATATCACTATTATGTCAATTTTTGGTTTTTATTTTTGTTTTGAAGAGACAGAGTCTCACTCCATCACACAGGCCAGAGTGCAGTGGTGTGTTTCTTACCCAGACTGGTCTTGAACTCCTGACCTCAAAGGATCGACCTGTTTCAGCCTCCCAAAGTGTTGGGATTACTGGCGTGAGCCACTGTGCGTGGCCGATGATTATGTTTTTTGTTTCTTTGTTTTTGAGATGGGGTCTCACTCTGTCGCCCAGGCTAGAGTGCAATGGCGCCATCTCGGCTCACTGCAACCTCCGCCTCCCGGATTCAAGCGATTCTCCTGCCTCAGCCTCCCAAGTAGCTGGAATTACAGGCGCCCACCACCAAGCCCAGCTAATTTTTGTATTTTTAGTAGAGATGGGGTTTCTCCATGTTGGTCAGGCTAGTGTTGAACTCCTGACCTCAGGTGATCCCCCCACCTCGGCCTCCCAAAGTGCTGGGATTACAGGCGTGAGCCACTGCACCTGGCCCGTATTATGTGAAACTGTAGTATGCTGCAGCACTGTGCAGGCCTGAGTCCCTGGTCACAGTGGGTGAGGAAAAGAAGAGCCTCTACTGAAGCAGTTCTCAGCCCTGTCAGGGTATCTTAGTCCATTTTCTGTTGCTTATAACAGAATACCTGCAACTGGGAAATTTCTAAAGGAAAGGAGTTTACTTCTTACAGTGGAAGCTGAGAAGTCCAAGGTCAAGGGTCAGCAGCTGGTAGGAGCCTTCTTTTTTTTTTTTTTTTTTTTGAGACGGAGTCTAGCTCTGTTGCCCAGGCTGGAGTGCAATGGCCGGATCTCAGCTCACTGCAAGCCCCGCCTCCCGGGTTCACGCCATTCTCCTGCCTCAGCCTCCCGAGTAGCTGGGAGTACAGGCGCCCGCCACCTCGCCCGGCTAATTTTTTTTGTATTTTAGTAGAGACGGGGTTTCACCATGTTAGCCAGGATGGTCTCGATCTCCTGAACTCGTGATCCGCCCGTCTCGGCCTCCCAAAGTGCTGGGATTACAGGCTTGAGCCACCGCGCCCGGCCTGTAGGAGCCTTCTTGCGGGTGGGGACTGGGGAGTTGTGAGGGTGTCGCCCGGTGGAACCTGTGAATGGGTTCATGGGCTAATCCATTCATGAGAGCAGAGCCCTCATGACCCAGTCGCCTCTTAAAGGCCCTGCCCCTCAAGACTGCCACATTGGGGATTCAGTTCCAACACCTGGCATTTGCCAGACACGTTAAACCACAGCACTGGGTAACAGAATTGTCTGTAGAGCTTTGTAAAAATACACGTTTCCTAGAGTTTCTGATTGAGTAGCACAGGCTTCAGGCACAAGCCTCTCTGGTTTCACTCCTATACAGAGGTCCTTCCTCCGTCCTGTTCGTGTGTGTTTAGAAATCTAACAGATGATTCCTGACAATACTCATTACTGCTGGTTCCCATCTGAATGTGTTTGGGCATCCTGCCACCAGAACCAGTTGGTGACAATTCTAAATCCATTTAATGTTCTGAATGTGTGGCTCCAGAAATTCCTTCTTAAATCTCTTTTGCTTCTCTGCCTCAGGGGCTGTCATTACTGCAACATTTTGTGGCAAGTTCCAAAGACAGATAAGAAGGCTGTCTTCAGTTCCTGTCCTGCCTTCCCTATAAAGTATCTGATTTCTGAATTTTTTTTTTTTTTTAAAGAGAGAGGGTCTCACTCTGTTGCCCAGATTGGAGTACAGTGGTGCAATCATAGCTCACTGTGACCTTGAACTTCTGGCCTCAAGTGATCCTCCTGACTCAGCCTCCCGAGTAGCTGGGACCACAGGTGCATGCCACAATGCTTAGCTAATTTATTTATTTATTTATTTATTTGAGATAGAGTTTCGCTCTTGTTGCCCAGGCTGGAGTGCAATGGTGAGATCTCGGCTCACTGTGACCTCCACCTCCTGCATTCAAGCGATTCTCCTGTCTCAGCCTCCCCCATTACAAGCATGTGCCACCATGCCTGGCTAATTTTGTATTTTTAGTAGAGATGGGGTTTCTCCATGTTGGTCAGGCTGGTCTTGAACTCCCGACCTCAGGTGATCCGCCCAACCCAGTCTCCCAAAGTGCTGGGATTACAGGAGTGAGCCACTGTGCCCAGCCTGCCTGGCTAATTTTTTAAGTAGAGATAGTGTCTTGCTTTGTTGCCCAGGCAAGTCTCAAACTCCTGGCCTCAAGTGATCCTCCCACTTCGGCCTCCCAAAGCTCTGGGACTACAGGTGTGAGCCACTGTGCCTGGTGTGGTGTCTTCTTACCTCAAATGGGAGCTTTGTGATTGCCTGATAGCCAGGCTCATAGTAGAACCACAGGCTCCAGAGATTCCCATTCCATGGGAAAAGCAGAATAGGGTCTTAATCAATCCATATGTGACTGTCAAGGATCCCTCCCCCTCCCACGAAAGTTGCCAATTTCTCTTTTTAAATTAGTGCATATTCTAGACCTCGGTGGTAAAATGGAGAGAGACTCCAATGAGACACCTCCCCAAAATTCACAACAAAATAGAGAGGTGGTTTAAAAGCAGAAAAATAATGCAGTGGCAATTACAAAAGGTACTTGTGGATAGGGCATGGAGGGATTGGTCTTACTTGTATCATAATCTTAAAAAATTCCCATCAAGAGTAAGAGTGACGTGGGAGAGTCCCACTATCCTCTTGACCAAGCAGGTTCTAGGTGCTCCTGACTCATCCCATTCCCACTCCCAGCAGCAGTATAAGGGGAACAGATGTCGTGCTCGCCTCAGCAGCACGTATACTAAAATTGGAATGATACAGAGAAGATTCACGTGGCCCCTTTAAAAATATTTAATAAAAAGGCAGGGCGAGGTGGCTCATGCCTATAATCCCAGCACTTTGGGAGGCCGAGGCAGGCAGATCACTTGAGGTCAGGAGTTCGAGACCAGCCTGACCAACATGGTGAAATGCCATCTCTACTAAAAACACACAAAAATTAGCTGGGCGTGGTGGCACGCGGCTGTAGTCCCAGCTACTCAGGAGGCTGAGGCAGGAGCATCGTTTGAACCCGGGAGGCAGAGGTTGCAGTGAGTCGAGATCATGCCACTGTACTCCAGCCTGGGCAACAGAGCAAGACCTTGTCTCAAAATAAATAAATACATAAATACATAAATAAATAAATAAGAGGAACAGAGGTGAGTGGCAGTGGGGAATTCCTTAAGAATCACCCTAATATACCCAACAAGAAAGAGGCGGGCCACACAGAGACATAGGAATCCAAGGATGAATTTTGCGCAAGAACAGAAATTGCGGCGTTCCACTTGCCATTTTGTTGGCTCTCCCCGGGTTGGGAGGAAAGCTGGAGAAAGTGGTTCCAGTTTTTGGCATCTATGGAGATAATCGTATTTTTCCTTCTTAACAAATGAATATGAGTTATATTCATAGATTTCTTAACATTTTTGCATTAAAATTTTTTTTTTGTTTTTGTGTTCCTGAGGTGAATCTCACTTCGTTGATCTATATTACTATTTAAATGTACTTTGAAATCATCTTTATGAATATTTTATTCAGAATTTTGGCTCTCATATTTAAAAATGAAATTGGTCTGTAACACTTTCCCCCTCTCCAGCAGCTGGATCCATGGGCTTGGCAGCCACAGTGATCATGAACTTCCGGCTATGTCCTAGAGTCATTTCTCTCTGAGGATGTCAGGAGGAACCCCAAAATGTCATCAAGACACTGGCTGCAGGTAGGCCTCCTGTTTCTGCCATTGCTCCTACCGCCACTATTTGGCTGTAAGTTCCTGCCATCACAGTTGGCGTGCACATGCTCACATTCACGCTTTGTGAGCGTGAACAAGTAGGTTCCCAGGGAAGCCTTTATCACACAGCAAATCCCACCGAACACTTCCACCCCCCACAAAAAGGAGCCCTGGAGTTACGAAATTCTCTCCTCTCCAATGCACGGGAGTGTTCAAGTTCTCCAAACCTGGGGGCGACCAATGCTCAGGCTCGGCAAGCAGCTTCCACCCCAAGCACACCGATAGATTTCTCAACAGAAACAGGTCCTTTTTTTTTTCCTCTCAAAAGTATTCTGGTGCCAGCTACAAAAAATACATAAACCTTCCCGCCTTATAATAGTAGCTACAAAATAAATGTATGTGTTTTCAATGTATTTTAAGGAGATACGATATTAACATTTGGGTATATTTTATCGACAGAAGGGATTGTACTCGGTGTTGTCAACCCTTTACTTAATATTTGTTAAAAACTACAGATAGGTTGGGTGTGGTGGCTCACACCTGTAATCCCAGTACTTTGGGAGACTGAGGCAGAAAGATCACTTGAGGCCAGGAATTCAAGACCAGCCTGGCCAACACAGCAAGATCCTATCTCTACAAAAAAAAAATTAAAAATTAAAAAAAAACTATAAATAAAATCTCAAATGCATGCTCTATTACTTCACGGGTGGTGGTGGAGTCTGCAATCTGCAGTCTTGTGAATAAACATACCCCAACCGACGTTCAAAATAATGGGACCAAAGGTAAAATTGAATCACTAAAATCACAGTACAGATCTGCTTAGGTGAGACTCCACAATGCGGAAGCTGTGTCAGTTAGGAGTTGCATTCCCCTAGGAGTAACAGAAACCTCATGAGAGTGGCTTGAATAAGAGTTTATTCTCATATAACAGCCCCGACATAGGGGGCCTTTCAGGAGCCAGTATGGCGGCTTCACATAAAAGCCACGCTGGAGTCCTTACGATGCTGTTTCTGCCCCTCCATCCTCAGAGTGTGACCTGTCATCAAGGTCACCTTGTAATTTAGGACGGCCTGGACCCTCCTCAGCCATCATGTTTGCAAGCTAGGCAGCAGAGAGGGCAAAAGTGAGCAGAACTGGCTTTTTTTTCTTCTTTTGGAGACAGTCTCACTCCTTCGCCCAGGCTGGAGTGCAGCGGCGCGGTCTGGACTCACTGCAGCCTCTAACTCCTGGGCACAAGGGATCCTTCCACCTCAGCCTCTGGAGTAGCTGGAACCACAGGCACCCACCACCACACCCGGCTAATTTTTGTATTTTTAGTAGAGAAGGGGTTTTGCCACGTTGCCCAGGCTGGTCTTAAACTCCTGGCCTCAAGCAATCCACACGCCTCGGCCTCCCAAACTGCTGGGATTACAGGCGTGAGCCATTGCACCTGGCCTATAGTGTTATTTTAGGAGCGTAAAACTAACACAAATGGTATAACTCTTAGATCAGTTTACAGTTTTTTCTTATGGGAAACACGGTCCAGCATTGATCCTTTGGATCCACGTAGCTGTAATTCATGCATTTGAACTGTTGAATAGCATTCCTTTGTAGGAATAAGCTACAGTTACCCTTCCTTACCGAAGGACACTTAGGTTGTTTCCAACATTTTCTTTTATCTTTTTTTTTTTTTTTTTTTTTTTTTGAGGCAGAGTTTTGCTCTTGTCACCCTGGCTGGAGTGCAGTGTTAAAATCTCAGCTCACTGTAGCCTCCGCCTCCCAAGTTCAAGCGATTCTCCAGCCTTGCCTCCTGAGTAGCTGGGATTACAGGCATGCCCCCAGCTAATTTTGTATTTTTAGTAGTATTTTTAGTAATTTTTTATTTTTAGTGGCCGGGCTGGTGATCCACCGGCCTCATATTCCTAAAGTGCTGGGATCACAGGCGCCCGGCTAAAATTTTCTATTATGAACATTGTTGCAGTAAACAGTCTCCTTGTATCAGCCTCCTTATTTGAGAGTCTCTCAGATATAAACCTAAGAGGTCTCCCAACATACCTGCCTCTTCACGGCTGATAGATAGCGACCAATTTCTCTATAAAGATGCAATTTACATTCCAACTAGTAGTGTATGAGTCCCCATTCCTCCCTATCCTCCCAACACTAGGTGGTATTATAATTTTTCACCCATCTGCTGAATATGAAATGATAATTATTGTTTAAACTTCATTTCCTCAAAACAAGAAAGATTCAGCATATTTTCCTGTTTATTCATTGCTTTTTCCCTTTTGTAAACATTCAGTTTTCACCCATTTTGCATGTGGATTGTTGTATTTTTCCTTATTAATTTATGTTAGTTCTTAAGGCCGGGCATGGTGGCTCACACCTGTAATCCCAGTACTTTGAGAGGCCACAGTGGACAGATCACTTGAGGTCAGGAGTTCGAGACCAGCCTGGCCAACATGGTGAAACCCTGTCTCTACTAAAACTACAAAAAAAAAAAAAAAAAAATTAGCTGGGCATGGTGGTGGGTACCTTTAGTCTCAGCTACTGGGGGAGGTTGAGGCATGAGAATTGCTTGAACCTAGGAGGTGGAGGTTGCAGTGAGCTGAGATCACACCACTGCACGCCAGTCTGGGCAACAGAGTAAGACTCTGTCTAAAAAAATAAATAAAAATAAATAAAAATTAGGCTAGTTCTTGTTATATCTAGATAATAATCCTCTGCCAGTTTTATGTGATGAAAATATCTTCTAGTCTGTGGTTTGTCTCTTACCCTTGTTATGGTGTTATTTGTCATACAGCAGTTTTCTTTTTTAACATAGTTGATCTCTACCTGACTTTTCTCTATTGTTTGAGCTTTTCAATAATTTTTCAACAAATCTTAATCCTGATATAGACATTCTTCTAATTTCCTTCGAAAGTTTTAAAGTTTGATTGATAGAATGTATTTTTATTATTTATTTATTTATTTATTTATTTATTTTTGAGGCAGAATCTCGCTCTGTCGCCCAGGATGGAGTGCAATGGTGTGATCTCGGCTCACTGCAACCTCTGCCTCCTGAGTTCAAGCGATTCTCCTGCCTCAGCCTCCTGAGTAGCTGAGATCACAGGCACACACCACAACGCTCAGCTAATTTTTGTATTTGTAGAGATGGGGTTTCACCATGTTGGCCAGGCTGATCTCGAACTCCTGACCTCAAGTGATCCACCCGCCTCAGCCTCCCAAAGTGCTGGGATTATAGGTGTGAGCCACTGGACCTGGCCAGAATGTATTTTATTAAATGAGGTATGTGCCTCATTTAATTTATCATGTGCATAAGCAGTTATCCAGCACCGTTTATTGAACAGTCTGTTCTTTTCCTACTGGTTTGTAATGCCAGCTCTAGACATACCGTACTCAGCAAGTGGTTGTCACTCCTTTCTGTTTCATTGGTCTCACACTCTGCATCTGTTCCATATTACTCAAATCACAATCGTTTTCTAGAAAGTCTTGATACCTGGAAAGCAAGTTTCTCTCCTTATTTAAGTCATTTGACTTTTTACTGTGTTAGTCTCCTGTTGCTGTTATAACAAATTACCACAAACTTAGGGGCTGAAAACAAAACAGGTTTATTCTCTTGCAGCTCTGGAGCTCTGTGTTCCTCCTGGAGGCTCTTGGGAAGAATCCATGTCCTTGTCTTTTCTAGCTTCTAGAAGCTGCCTACATTTTTGGGCACGTGGCTCCTTCCCCTTCTGCGAGGCAGCAGTGCAGCATCTTCTGGTCTCTCTCTCTGCTCCTCTGGTCACATAGCCTCTTTCTCACTCTGACCATCCCACTGCCCTCTTAGAAGGACCCTAGTGATTGGCCTACCCAATAATCCAGGATAATCGCCTCATCTCGAATCCCTTAATTTAATCACATCTGAAAAGTCTTTTTTGCTATTGTAACATATCCACAGCTCCAGCCTTTAAGAGGTGGACATTTTCATGGCAGCCATGATTCAGTCACCACATTGGCCTTTCACAATTCACTGTGAGTTTTGAGATGTTTGCTGGGTTCTATGGAAAAAGAAGCCCTGTTAGGGTGTTGATTGGAGTAGTATTGAATTTATAGATTGATTTGAGAACTGACATCTTTAGAATACTGAGCTTTTCCATTTATAACATGGTTTCTCTATTTTGGCCTTCTTTTGTGCCCTTCAGTAAAGATTTACAATTTTTTCTGTAAAATTTTTGTATAGCCTTTGTTACGTTTATTCCTAGATGCTGTGTATATGTTTTGCTGTTATGAACATGATTTTTTACTATTCAATTTCTACTTGTTTTTTGTAGGTATATAGGAATACTGTTAAATTTTAATTTACACATTTATCTTTTATTTAGCAAACTTACTGAATTTTATTTTGCTTTCTAACCTTTGTCTGCAGATTATTCTGAATTTTGTATATGGACATTTTAATCTGTAAATAATGACAACTTGTTTTTTTTGTTTTTTCTTATCTTGTTGCACTAACTAGGCACTTCATTACAATATTGAATCATGCTTCTAACTACACTAATAAGTAAGCTGGTTGTACACTGTCAAGTTTTGGGAGTTCCTATCTGTATTAGTCTGTTCTCACACTGCTATAAAGAAATACCTGAGACTGACTAATTTATACATGGAAGAGGTTTAATTAACTCATGGCTGGGTTCCACATTGCTGGGGAGGCCTCAGGAAACTTGCAATCATGGCGGAAGGCAAAAAGGAAGCAAGCATCTTCTTCACAAGGCAGCAGGAAAGGGCGTGTGTGAAGCAGGAATTGTCAAACACTTACAAAACCATCAGATCTCGTGAGAACTCGTCACTATCATGAGAACAGCATGGGGAAAACCACCTCCATGATTCAATCATCTCCCACCAAGTCCTTCCCTCAACATGTGGGGATTATGGGGATTACAATGCAAGCTGAGATTCGGGTGGGGAGGCAGCCAAACCGTATCACTATCTATTCTTGGTTTGCCAAGAAGTTTGTCTTATAAATGTTTTGACAACAAGAAAGGGTGTTGAACCATAGCTAATGATTTTCTGCATCTAGTGAAATATGCTTTCTTTCTCTTTTTGAATGTTAGTCTGTTAATGTGTATCCCTAGGATAAACCCTACTTGATCGTACTGTAATATTTTAAATATATATCTGGGTTTAGTTTACTAACACTTTATTTAGATCTTTTGTATATTAGTTTATCAATTAGATTAGCATATACATTTTCTTTTATACTGGACTTTCCCAATTTTACTACAAATGTTTTACAAATCTCATAAAATAAATTAGGTTTCTTTTACTATTTTCTGTAACTTTTTTTTTTCTAGGATAGGAATCCATACCTTGAAATCTGATAGCACTCGCTTGTAAAGCTGAATGACCCTGGTGTTATTTTGTATAATTAATTTTTCTGAATGCTTATACTGTTCACGGTTTCTCTTTTCCCTTGAGTTGGCTTAGAAATTTATGATTTTCTAGAAAAATGGCCCAGCTTGTCTAAGTGTTGTCACTGATCAGCACAAGGTGCTGCCAGAGGGTGGGCTCTGAGATGGACTTGGCATGCACACAGGGGTTCATAAGGATGCTCCTGGGAGGGCAAGAGTCCAAGAGTGGGTGGAGGGAGAAACAGCTCCTGTGCTGGTCAAATGACCACCTCATCTGACCCCACAGGGAGCTCAGGAGTGAGATCGACCCTAGGTGTTGTCTGGCGGGGCCACCTGGGTCCGTTGCTGGATACAGACCTGTAAGCATCGGGTGAGGCAGCACCCAAAGGGACTGAGTTGAAAGCTGTGGGCTGACAGCACTCCCAGCAGCTAAGGGCAAGATCTTTTATGGCAGGGGAGCGGGGGATGTGCCAGTCTTCCCCACAGCCACCCCTGCCCGCCAGCTGCTCAGTCACATACATTAAGACGGTTAAGAGAGCAGCTCTTTGGAGGTTCTGGGGAGTGTGGGGGAGCCTCCTCCTGGGGATGTTTTTCTCTTTTTCCTTTTTTAGAGACAGGATCCCACTTTGTCGCCCAGGCTGGAATGCAGTGTTGCCATCATAGCTCACTGCAACCTCCAACTCCTGGCCTCAAGGGATCCTCCTGCCTCAGCCTCCCAAGTAGCTGGGACTACAGGTGTATACCACCATACCTGGCCTATGGGAGAATTTAGAAGAGGAAGATTAATAGGACAAACCACAGCCCTTCCCACCACAGCTGGCCTCAGGCTGTGGTCCACACTCCTTGTCTCTTTCCTCTACATCTGTTCCCCATTCATCCATCCCTCAGCTGGCACATCTGCTGTTCTCAGCCGGGGTCACTGCACTTGAGGTGCCCACATGGATGGCCTGGGTGCCAAACATATGCTTCCAGTCTGGAGCAGAAGCCTTTCCTCCTCCTGGTAATGGTGGCCAGTCAGTGCCACCAGAGGGTGACTCCTCTTCCTGCTGCAAGGTCCCTTGGCACAAGATTAAGTGCCCCAGTGGCACCTCCCCTGGCAAAAGTGTCCTCCTGGGACCAGGCCCTTTAGACCTGCAGAACCCAAACTTACAGCGATGGGAAATGCCAATTCCTTTCCCAGCTGGTCCCTGGGGGTGAGACAGGCAGGGCCTCTGGTCCCTAGGCCCATGCATTCTTCCCACTGAGCACTGCGTAAAGGTCTCTAAAGTGCAGCCTGTGTCCTGGAGGACGGCACCTCATGCCCTGAAAGTCCTGCCCTGGAGTGGGCCCTTCAGCCGCGCCTCTATCAGGTCCGCTGTTCTGTGGCTTCACTACAGGATCCTGTGTTCCTGGGCCACTCCCCCACCTCCCTTGCTGTAACATGGGTCCCAGGCCTGATGTGATGTTACGAGGTATCCCATGCCAGAGGATCAAACATTCTGTCTCTGTCCCTTCCAAGGTGGAAGAGGGTCCCTGTCACTGACTTGCCACCTAGTGGCTGGTTCTTCTCCAGTGCCAGTGAAGGGCACAGTACTGGTCTCTGCTGTTGGCAGATTGGATATTCAGTTGCATACATTGCTAGATTAGCTTGGCAAGTAGATGTATTAGTTCCATATTGCTGCATAACAATCCCCAAACTTAAGAGGCTTAACAGAGCATTTATTATCTCACAGTTTCTGTAAATCAGGAATCCGGCCCTGGCTTAACTGGGTCCTCTAACTAAGGGTCTTTCACAGGCTACAATCAAGATACTGGCCAGGGGCTGGACGCAGTGGCTCACACCCATAATCTTAGCACTTTGGGAGGCTGAGGTGGGAGGATCGTTTGAGGCCATGAGTTCGAGAACAGCCTGAGCATTATTTTTATTTAAAAATTTAAAAATGTGCCAGGTATGGCAACGGACACCTGTAGTCCCAGCTACTCGGGAGGCTGAGGTAGGATGATCACTTGAGCCCAGGAGTTTGACGCTGCAACGAGCTATGATTGCACCACTGCACTCCAGCCTGGGCGACAGAGTGAGACCTAGTCTTTAAAAGAAAAACAATAATAATAATAATAAATAAAATAAAATTATTGGTTAACTATAAATGGGAATGAATAATCTTACTGGGGTGATGGAAATGTTCTAAATCTGTATTGTGGTGATGATTATACAATTTGGTAAATTTGTTAAAAAATCATTGAATTGTACAGTTAAAATGGGTGAGTTTTATGGTGTAAAAGTTATACCTCAGTTAAGTTACAAATACACACCACATTAGTTGTAATGCTCTGTACAACCACAGAATGTCAGCAAAGACAGCCATGAAGGACTTTTTTCATAAACCAAATTTTCCAATGAAAATGCCACCAACCACTAGATGTAGCTGCCTTTTCATGACAAGAAGGCCTTTGTTCTGGGTCTCAGGGACTTGAAGTTATCAAACATCAGGAATAAGGAAATATTTGCAAGTATCAGCTTATTCAAATCGATCATGATTGAGCCTGTCAAATCATTTTATCCTTGGGTACAATTTAATAAGCAATTGCTTTTCTGCTAAGAAAAATACGTGTCAATAAAACTTTTCAAATAACATGGAAAAATCTAAAGAAAATATAGCCTCTCCCTTCATTACTTCAGTTCTTTCAAGAATATTTAAATAATAAACTGGGTTATGGGACAGTAACCCTCCTAATGTACACTGAAAACCACAACCTTTTCTAAGCCAGTGATCATTTCTGTTAACTTGGTGCGGCCCTGTTAGGTGGAGAAGGGCAAAGGAAACTCCTATGGTGGAAAATTTTCAGTCAGTCACAGTTTTGGCACATTTATAAATAACATAAGTAAAACAAAATTTGCCCAAGTAAAGTCTTCATGTGTCAAAATCTTAATCTAGTTACCAGAATCAAAGTAGATGTCCCTGCCTTCATCACAGGCCAGTTTCAGCCTAAGACTTTTTTTCTCTTAAATGCTGGGCAAGCCTCAGAATGGATTATTAAAAATACTGATGTTGAAGACATTCTGAAAGACAATTTTATGGGTTCATGACCTGAGTACTAAGAATCTAGAAGCTGTGTTCACAGGGATGAGGGAAAAAATAAGATCTGATGAACTCTTCTCTGAAATTAACATTTCACTGTGAATTTCATCACAGTGTCACAAATGTCAAGGTCAATGTGGAGAAAACAGAGGTTTCCAATCAAACAGAGGTCAAGTGACCTTGCCAAAGTGACACAGGGAGTTTTAACAGAAAAGCTAGGACCAGAACCCAGGTCTGGTGGCCGTCAGCCATGGTTCCTCCAGCCAAGCCCACACCCACTGTTCATTCTGCTCTTCACAGTGCCTGTAGCTTTGGGCTTTGTTGTTTTGTTTCTGTAGTTCTTTTTATCCAGGATGGATTTTTGAGAACATAGGTAATCACTGTCTGACTCATTTTAAAAATCAAAGTCATGAAACGGGTGTCTGGGATCCTAAATGCTCTAGAAGTATTCAAGTAATTGATTGTAGTGAAAATCCCTAAGAAACCACAGCTAATCTCAATGTCCTTTGGTGGGTAAAGTCTATACCAGCTGTGGAAGAGTCCCCGTAGATTGTCTGCTAAGCCCCTCCAGCAACCCAGTCTTCTTTCTCTATTGTTACATGGGATGTTCCCTGTATGAAATCTTCTGCCCGTACTCCAACTTCCCCTCCCTGCCCTCCAAACTGCCACAATCCTGTATTCCTGGAGCAACAGCAACCCAACATTTAATGATGTTAAGTCAGGTTACTTGACTAGAAAGACTAATAGGTTAGGCATGTTATACCCTTGATAAAGTAGATTTGTCTTCTACCCTTCTAGGTCTAAACTCCAATAAAATCCAGGTGGGTTACATCAATTCAGACATCTGGATAAAAGGATGAATGAAACCATGTACATAATACAGAACTATGCATGCCAGGAAAAGAAATTATACTGCCTAAAAGCTGCAACCTTCATGACATCAAATCTATTTTAACACTGGCTGGTTATGTGAGGAAAAGGCTAATAAAAAAAAAAATTCTGGCTGACCAAAGAAGTATGCATGTGTGTGTATTTATTTTTAAATTAATATTGAGATGGATTAATGTTCTAAAATTTGGACTTTTTAACATTATCTTATTCATAATATATCAAAAGTCTCTGAATAGAAACTGTTCAAAGGCATCTAATCTAATAATCATTACCATGTCACTAATCTAACCTCTAAGCAATTGCTAAATGCCATCAGTACCTTCATCTCCGATTACATTTTCATGATATTTCAAGCTACAATAACAAAACAGATGCTGATCTCGGCATTACTAAGCAACAGGATATGTATACTTTTTAGAGTATGAAAATATCACTGCTCTCCCACAGTCAATGATACTTATTTTCCAAGAACTGTCAAAAACTTCTAGTGATATGGTTATGCTCATCCAATTCCCATGAGGCCAACACTGTGATCACAGGTTACAATAAAAACTAAAATGCCACCCACAGCCATGTCTGAGTGATACGTAAAACGCTTTGACTCTTTTCCACTATGTCCTTTTTTTTTTTTTTTTTGAGACAGAGCCTCATTCGGTCACCGAGGCTGGAGTGCAGTGGCGCAATCTCCACTCACTGCAAGTAATTCTTCTGCTTCAGCTTCCCCAGTAGCTGGAACTACAAGCGCGTGCCAACACACCCAGTTAATTTTTGTATTTTTATTAGAGATGGGTTTTTGCCATGTTGGCCAGGCTGGTCTCGAACTCCTAACCTCAAGTGATCCACCCGGCTCGGCCTCCCAAAGTGCTGGGATTATAGATGTGAGCCACCGCGCCTGGCCTCATTTTCCACTACGTTCTAACCACCTAAAGTAACCATCATATGCAGTTAAAGCAAAACTGGTAATTTTACTGAGAAAAGATGGATTCATTTTAAAGTCACTTACTTGCTAAAACTTTGTGGCCTGGAAGTAATGTCTAAAGTTCTTATGTCAAATAATTCAGTCTACTTGCAAGTAACTGTGTACTCTTAGAGAAAAATCTTTAAGTTAGATTCCCAAACCTTGTCAAATTATTGCCCCTTCCCCACAGTTAACCCAAGACTCCCCAGAGTTACTCTGAATATAATTTACCAAATTAGATCAGAAAAAACTGCCCTTACTGCCTTGCCCCATAGGGCTTGGCATACACTTGGAGAGTCCCTTGCAGAAAAGAAATACCACCCGTTGAGTTTTGAAATGTTCATGGACTGTTTCCAAGAAAATAAGCCGCTTGGAAGTCACACATACACTAGGTGGCGCTGTGGCTGTGACATTAAACAGTCTTTGTGCTGGGCAAATGCTGGGTAAGAGCACACATAACTTAAAGGAAAATTAGGCCCAACCCCAGATCATACAGTTCAGTGTTCTCCAACACTAGAGTGCTTCAGAAACATGCCAGGAACTTGAGCCTGGCGTGGTGGTGGCACATGCCTGTGGTCCCAGCTATTCCGGGGGCTGAGGCAGGAGGATTGCTTCAGCCCAGGAGGTGGAGGCTGAGGTGATCTGTGATTGTGTCGCTGCACTCCAGCCTCGGCAACAGAGCAAGACCCTGTCTCAAAAACAAACAAACAAACAAACATGCAAGGAACTGGTTAAAAATACAAATACCCAGACCTACTGAATGAAAATTCCAGAGGTATGGGACACAAAACAGAAGACGCAGATGGGCACACTCATGCTATCCTCTCCCGGGACAGCCCATTTTCATCCACAGCCCCCTTATTTGGGCTTCTTACCTCCTCAAAAGTCTATCAGTAGTGGCTGGGCGCAGTGGCTCATGTCTGTAATCCCAGCACTTTGGGAGGCCAAGGCGGGTGCATCACCTGAGGTCAGGAGTTCGAGACCAGCCTGGGCAATATGGTGAAACCCCATCTCTACTAAAAATACAAAAATTAGCTGGGTGTGGTGGTGTGCGCCTGTAGTCCCAGCTACTCGTGAGGCTGAGGCAGCAGGATCACTTGAACGCAAGAGGCAAAGGTTGCAGTGAGCTGAGATTGCACTACTGCACTCCAGCCTGGGCGACAGAGTGAGATTCTGTCTCAAAAAAAAAAAAGAAAGAAAGAAAAAAAAGAGTGTGTCAATCGTGAACTGTGTTTTAAAAGGTAAGAATTTAAAAGTTCATTCCTAAGTCAAGCCTGACACTGGTCTGATGTAAGTTAGCGCTTCTGAGAGCTCCACGAACGTTGAAAGCAACAGCTCTCATATACCTTGTTAACAGCCATTTGTCCTAGAAAATGACTGAACCACAAGTCAAGCATCCTTCATAAAGTGAGGTGGCTGAGATAGATCTGGCAGAGTCCCTGTGTCCTGCAGCTGTCACAGAGACCAGCTGGACTTTTGCATAGTAAGTGATGGGGTTTTTCCTTCCAGCTTCCGTCCATTCAAACCACAGGGACAAATCCTTCCTCAGAAAGCTATGCTGCACAAAAGCTGGCTGAAAATCCAGTTTATAGAAAAATAGAGGCATCACAGTAATATAAAGATTATCACACTAGTTCAGAGATCTGAGTATTTCTAGTCTATTGTCAATAGCTGGCAATATTTAAGTAAATCAGCCTGAAATTTGGTTTTCTTGTCTATAAAATGAAAGGAGTAAATTACACCTGTTGGTCAGGCTCAGTGATTCATGCCTGTAACCCCAGCACTTTGGGAGGCCGAGGCAGGTGGATTACTTGAGCCTAGGAGTTAAAGAACAGCCCGGGCAACACGGCGAAACCCCGTCTCTACAAAAAACACAAAAATTAGCCGAGCGTAGTGGCTCGTGCCTGTAGTTCTAGCTCCTGGGGAGGCTGAGGTGGGAGAATCGCTTGAGCCTGGGAGGCGGAGGTTGCAGTAAGCCAAGATCGTACCACTGCACTTCAGCCTGGGTGACACAGTGTGAGACCCTGTCTCAAAAAAATAAATAAATAAAAATAAAAAAATTACACCGGCGAGACCTCTTTTAGCTGTGATTCTATTTCAATAAGCGTAACTGTGACTTTGCTGTTCCAATAGCTAGCCAGACCTTAGTCCTTAAACTGTAAAGTCATTTTTTTCCTGATCAGCATCAGGGATTTGAAAAACCAGAGAGAAGTGAAAATGTGCTTTTGTGCATTTGAACAGGAAGGTCTGGGTGTTCCCACACACAGCCACTCAGAACCACAGAGCTCTCTCCGCAGCCACCACCTGCTTGAGTCATTGCCAGCAAGTGTTTCTTATCACTTTCCTGCCTTTGGGTCCAGACTGGGTGAGAGCCACCAGGGCAGAGGCTCCCTGTCCTGGTTCTGCGCTTGGTCCTGAGCCATGTGACCTTTGGCAAGCTACTGAATTTCTCCAGCCTTGCTTCTTCATCTGCAAAATGAGAGCTGTTAGGAGAATAAAATGTGGAAGCCCCTAGGCGCAGGGTGAGCACTCTGTACACAGTAGCTGTTATTCTTGACTGCCATGACTGCGTGGCTGTAGCATCCATGGAGCTACATACCCAGCTGGAAGAAAGCAAGCCCAGGACGGTGCTGGTAATGTCAGGGTTGCCACAGCCCTAGGTCCCAAAGCTGCCCTCTCTCCTTCCGGACTTCTTACAAAGGCAGCCTCACTTGTTGACTTGAAGGAGTAAATGAACATGCTGACTCCCATGTCGCTTTCTGGAAACTCCGCATCACATAGCCCTGAAGATGGGACAATTTAAGGATATAGGCAACATGATCAATGAATCATGTATATATTATAGCTGGGACTATAGGTGCACACCACCATGCCCAACTAATTTGCTTAATGTTTTGTTTGTTTGTTTTTTGTGGAGACAGAGTCCCACCATGTTGTCCAGGCTGGTCTTTAATTCCTAGCTTCAGGCAATCCTCCTGCCCTAGTCTCCTAAGGTGCTGGGATTATAGGCGTGTGCCACCATGCCCAGCCAAGAAAATGGATTTATATAGAAAAACCTGCCCACAAACCATAAAGATTAAAATATACCATGCTTGAGTAGTTCAGAATCAAGTCTATGTCTTTAAAATGCTCTTAGAAAAGGTGAAGCATGGCCAGGCACGGTTGCTCACGCCTGTAATCCCAGCACTTTGGGAGGCCAAGGCGGGTGGATCATCTGAGGTCAGGAGTTCCAGACCAGCCTGGCCAACATGGCAAAACCCTGTTTCTACTAAAAATACAAAAATTAGATGGGCATGGTGGCGCACACCTGTAATCCCAGCTACTCGGGAGGCTGAGGCAGGAGAATCACTTGCACCCAGGGGGCAGAGATTGCAGTGAGCCAAGATCATGCCACTGCACTCCAGCCTGACACATCTGAGCTTCTGAGAACCACGGTATACTACCATAGGACAGTCACTGCATTATGGCCAGCCAACTGGCAACAGCTCTGCCTGCCTCACACGTCAAAGCGGGCTAATTATTTTTGGTGTAGACTAGAACAATCAAGTTGGTTTCACAAATCATATTTTTTAAAGTTGTACTGTTAGGCACATGGGAAACAGCATGTTTTGGACATAAACATATATGAAGAAAACTGAGAAGTGTGGTTGAACAAGGAATGAGGCATCTGGCACTGAAATAGCCGCCATTCATGCACAGTATGTTGCTGATGTCCATGTTCTCAGTTTCAGGCATGCCTCATGGTCACACATGTTTAAATACTAGAAGGAGTTCATTTCCTTAATGTTCCCATCTCACATGACTTAGCGTTATGAAGTACCTAGTTAGATAGGACAGAGAAGGTATGCAGTCCCCTAAACCTGGAGCAGTAATTTCTATACCCAGCAGTCCAGATTCTGAAACTTTTAGGATTCAAAGAAAGACACACACAGTGAGAACTCTGGATCCCGAGTGCAAGGGTGTGGGGAGCGCTGTGGATCCCGCACGCACGGGTGTGTGAGATGTGCAACGTTCCCCCCTGCAAAGCTTCCCCTACTGCTGGTTCTGTTGAGGGAGAGGTCGTAGGCAGTATCTGCTGTAAGGCTGAAAGCACTGCTGTCAAATGGTGCTATTTTGGTAGCAGAAGCTTGGTTTCAGGGATACATTTCATGAACAAGAATAAGAGT